CTAAAATCCCCGGTAGGGGATTTTTGGCATTGACAGGGGATTTTCCAAAAAAATCCCCGGTCGTGACCTAAAATACCCGACAGGGGATTCTGACCGGGGATCGCGAACGCAGGCTGTTAAAAGCCTGTTTTGTGTGTTTTTGCAAGGGAGAGCTGGGTTTTGGATCCCAAACACCCAAGGGACGAACCAAAGAGAGAGAGAGGGCGATTTGAGGGCATTTTAAGATTGGAATTGGAGGATTTCTTCGCCTTGAAAGCTCGAGGAACAAGCCCGAACTTGAAGACTGATCATCTGAAGATTCTTACTGCAGTCTCTCTCTTCTCTATGGAGTAACTTCCCTTCACTTAGGTTTTGAGGAACCCTAGCTATGTTTGTTTGATTGGATGATTGTATGAGTACTCTGACTTAATAATCTTGAGTTCATATTCAATCTATGCATGTTTTCATGATTCAATTATGCTTTAGTCGAGATTATTGATTCTGCTTTGATCCTATGAGAGCGAATACCTGATTAGGTCAATAGAGCACCATAGATTGATAGTAGTGGATCGATTGCTTTAGTCGAGGGTTGGTTCACTGCTTTGTATCGATTGAGAACCTCTTTCGATAGAGGGAATCTAGTTCAGAACGCCTTGATCGGTTGTTCTAGAGAAGGATACGTCCCTCTAGGCAATTGACTCAAGAGGGCCTTGTTCCTTTAGTCGAGACTCAAGGTCTAGTTAAGGATTCTCTACATTGTGAATGAAAGTGAAACAGGTTAGAGATCATCAATCATTAATCTGGCTAGTGGCTAGGGGGAATCATACCTAAGTGAGTTCCCAACCTGTAATTAGATTAACTTTAACTGTAGTTTGATAGAGTAGTTTTAGTTCTTTCATCTTAATCTGGTTTGCTAGATAATGAACTGAAGGTGAGTAATAGTAACTCTAGAGACCCGTGGATTCGATATTTATTACTTGAGCCACTATACTGCAGTCCCTTTCATTGGTTACACTTGGCCTTTGTTAGGAGTTGTGTCGTAGCGAGTCAAGTTTTTGGCGCCGTTGCCGGGGACTTTCTAGAGTATTAGGAAAGGCAGAAGTTTGTTACTTTAGCGTTTTTCTTTTCTTTTCTTTTCCACCCTTGCTTTTCACTTGGGTGTTTTTGTTTTTGTTGGTGTAGATCTGAATCATGGATCCTCATGTCTTCTCCAACAATTGGGGGTATCCACCACCACCCGAGTGGTATTATCCCGAGACTCCCTGGAGCAATCAAGGAGGAGAAGACTATGGATTCGGGTTCCAGTACCAACCCCCTTACTACGGAGAACAACCGGACCCCTGGGCATATCAAGAACAACCTCATTACCAAGAAGAATTTCTCCCACAACCAGAAGGGCCATCGGCGCTGGAGTTACCCATGGTGGCCTTCACGGGCCATTATGCAGAGCCATGCTACACTCCACAGCCAGATCCAAACTATGAATTGAGGCTTCTCATGGAATAGTTTGCTCGAGACAGTGAGAGAACATGCTCCAGGATGGATCATTGTGTCTAGGCCTATCGTGAAACAGAGGAGATCCTCCTGAGCCTTAAGAAGAGCGTCGATGATCTTGAGCGATCTTGTGCACAACCTGCTCCAGATCACCCTTCTGCTACCATACTAGAAGAGGAGGAGGAAGAAGAAGGCTACAAGGACATTGTGGAGCACACTAAAGATGTCACAGAGAGCTCCCGTGATGATCATGATCAGGAATGTCCTGTCATAGCCGACCACACCTTCCCACATCCCAAACCGAGCTTTGAAGAGGCGGGCATGAGTGAGGAGATGCAAGAAGATCTCATGAAAGAAATTGCTTGGCAACTTGCTCTCCAATCCATGCTAGAAGAAGAAGAGCAACAAAGGGTGCAGAAAGAAGTTGTGGAGGATGACAAAAGTGAAGCAGGAGGAGTTCTTGATCATTTCCCAGGGGTGATACCACATGAAGAAGAAAGGGAGGTTGAAAAGCAATTGGCGTCCAGGCTGAGGACGAAGTTAAAGTGGAAGAGGCCTGCACCGGCCATGAGTTACATGTGATATCTCCACCAGACTTCGAGGAACTACTTAGCAAGGACCCATTTGCAGTGTCTCTTTGCCATACCAAGGCCACATCAACATCGGCCCCTCTTGGTGGACGCGATGGTGGCCAATCGATGCTGTCATATCTGGTTCGGGGCAATGAGACAAGAGAAGAGAGGAAGAGGTCTCGAGGGTAGAGACTTCATCTGCATCAAGTGCACGAGCTTCCATCCCCTGTCATACCACATGCTCGTGACTTGAGACTCCACCTCATTGACGAGAACCTCAACTTCAAGGAGGTTTTGGGTGGACCAAAACTTAGGAGCCATCGTCCGGCTCACGACGTGAAAGAAGCGCTTGTTGGGAGGCAACCCAACCAGTCGGTTTGCATTTCTTTCTCTTTTTCTCCTCGGTTGAGTCAGTTTTTTTATTTGATTTTAGAGTCAATAACTCAACCTTTGTGAGATTTTGTGTGGTGTTTGTGGTCTGACCACTCTCTCCTCCTGGAATACACCGCCTGCCCCGTCCACCATCATTCACCCTGGATCTGGTAACTTCGTTCTACCCTCCTTATCTTTCCTCCATTGAGGACAATGTCGTGCTTAAGTGTGGGGGGATGTTCGATTATGTATGCGTGTGAATGTTTGACTGTTTGTGTGCTTGGAGCCTAGTCCACTGTCCAAATTTCGATTTGAAGGCTCCATGTACGTGTTCCTTGCAATTGCCTGATCAGTATGCTTTGAATTGACAGTCTCTATAGTAATGTGCAACCTAGGGAGGTAGTGTAGCACTATGGAGGATGTTGATGCATTTAAGAAGTCTCGTTTCTTCTTCATATTGTGTTGGTTGATTGTGTGAATTAGTGATCTTAGGACCCTTGAATTGTGTGGTGATGTGGACTCTCTACCTGTCATGGACTCCTGTATCATGTTTTGAAATTAAAGGTGCTCCAAAATGTGCTTTAAAATAACGTCTCCCGTGCGAATAGGGCGAAAGTGTGTAAGGGGAGACGGGAATCCGTTCCCAATTTCCACCTACTACCTCCACCCCCCTTACATATATTTCCCCCGCACGATGCTCGAGACATCCTCTCCTGGCATGGCCAGTAAGAGCCGGGCTCCCGCAAAACCTCTACTAGGTGGGAGCCCCCCCATTTTTTGAAAAATAGGTTGGAACCCTCGAAAAAAAAAACAACAGAAAAACAAGTAAAAAAAGAAAGAAAATGGGTTCCAACCATCTTCAAGAAGAAAATGGAGCACCTTAAAAATATGAGTCCATGATCTTTTGTTTTTGAGAGTCCATTCGTCCACGATTCATTTACCCTATGATCACTATTTGCCATGATGTCGGCTCGAGACTAGCGTTCTCGCCGAAGAAGCTATGAGATGACTTGTGCGTTGGTTGACCTCGTAAGCTGCTAAATTATCTAGAAAATCCTCTACCGACGATCGGGTTTGTTTGTTGCTATAGAGGTCTGGAGAGCTGCATTGGTTTGAGCTAGGTTTGCTTGGGGACAAGCAAACGGTTAAGTGTGGGGGGCTTTGATGACTCGATATTTGCACATGTTTTCCCTTTTGTTTCTTGATCGTATAAGCTTGCATTATCGCTTCTTTGGCCTATTTTACGCTAGGTTGTGTTCCTTTGTCACATTTCAGGTCCTAGCACATAAAGTGAAGCGTAGGCGCAAGTTTCAAGTCAATCAGAGATCATTTGGCGACTCGGGGGAAGAAACTCGGGTATGACTTGAAGAAGAATGGATTTATACCTCAGCTTGTGATCATATAATCATGTAATCTTGTCATGAGAAGAAAGAGGACGAGACTACGAGCGTCTGGGATCAAACGGCACCTGATTTAGAGTCCGAACGAGGGAGAAACGAAGAATCAAAGTTAAGGGAAAATTGGTTTCGGGCTTCTCTGAGAAACAGAAGGGGGCCCTATCGTGACACTAAAATCCCTGGTAGGGGATTTTTGGCATTGACAGGGGATTTTCCAAAAAAATCCCCGGTCGTGACCTAAAATACCCGATAGGGGATTCTGACCGAGGATCGCGAACGCAGGCTGTTAAAAGCCTGTTTTGTGTGTTTTTGCAAGGAAGAGCTGGGTTTTGGATCCCAAACAACCAAGGGACGAACCAAAGATAGAGAGAGGGCGATTTGAGGGCATTCTAAGAGTGGAATTGGAGGATTTCTTCGCCTTGAAATCTCGAGGAACAAGCCCGGACTTGAAGACTGATCATCTGAAGATTCTTACTGCAGACTCTCTCTTTTCTATGGAGTAACTTCCCTTCACTTAGGTTTTGAGGAACCCTAGCTATGTTTTTTTGATTGGATGATTGTATGAGGACTCTGACTTAATAATCTTGAGTTCATATTCAATCTATGCATGTTTTCATGATTCAATTCTGCTGTAGTCGAGATTATTGATTCTGCTTTGATCCTATGAGAGCGAATACCTGATTAGGTCAATAGAGCACCATAGATTGATAGTAGTTGATCGATTGCTTTAGTCTAGGGTTGGTTCACTACTTTGTATCGATTGAGAACCTCTTTCGATAGAGGGAATCTAGTTCAGAACGCCTTGATCAGTTGTTCTAGAGAATGATACGTCCCTCTATGCAATTGACTCAAGAGGGCCTTGTTCCTTTAGTCGAGACTGAAGGTCTAGTTAAGGATTCTCCGCATTGTGAATGAAAGTGAAACAGGTTAGAGATCATCAATCATTAATCTGGCTAGTGGCTAGGGGGAATCATACCTAAGTGAGTTCCCAACCTGTAATTAGATTAACTTTAACTGTAGTTTGATAGAGTAGTTTTAGTTCTTTCATCTTAATCTGGTTTTCTAGATAATGAACTGAAGGTGAGTAATAGTAACTATAGAGACCTATGGATTCGATATTTATTACTTGAGCCACTATACTGCAGTCCCTTTCATTGGTTACACTTGGCCTTTGTTAGGAGTTGTGTCATAGCAAGTCAAGTAGCAGAGCCCACCCTTTCCTGATGCTTCTCGGCGGTGGCAGCTTCCTACAGTTTCGACGGCGCTGATGTTGAAGCGCGATCAAGCCCTCCGTTTGGGGAAGCAAGGGCTGGCGAACAACGTTTGGTGAGAAGCTCCTCCTGCACGCTTCCTCTGTCGCCGAGACCATGTTTCTCATCGTCTTCCTTCTGGACATTCTCCTGTAGAGATCTCTCAGTTTGTAATTAGCCTTTTAATTACTTTGGGGACCATTATGTTATTTTCCTTTTGCTCCGTGTTTATTGTTGAAAGGAGCTAGGGTTGGTTTTTCCTATATATGCTTCTCGGTAGCCTTATAGCCGATCAAGCAAGAGAGACAAACACTATCATTAGTTTTTCTCGATTAGTCTCGTTCACATTGAAAGGGGATACCACGTAAATATGGTGTTCTGTGTTCTTTACTTTCAAAGTATCATCGAATTTTACATGGTATCAGAGGTGGTCTAAGTGAAGGGATCGGCAATCATGAGTTCTGACGAAGAAGTTTCGGGCAAGACCTCGTCGTCCAAGGTTCTTCAGGGCAGTGCTCCGGTCACGCTGTCGCCTCACCTTGTTCTGCATTAGTCTGATAACCCCAGTAATCTTTTTATTGGGGGGGGGGGGGGGGGGGGGGGCTTCTTAGAGACATTAATTATGGTGAATGGATCGTAGACATCACCGATTCTCTCGTTGCAAAGAATAAGTTTTGCTTTGTTGATGGAACTCTCCGGGAACCTCAAACTGCCGCGGAGAAGGAAGCGTGGAAGCAGTGTAACTCCATGGTGAAGGGTTGGCTCAAAACCTCCATGTCGAAAGAGGTTAGGAGTAGTGTTCGGTTCGCGGCTATGGTCGCGAAATATGGGTTGATCTGCATTCTCGCTTCGGCCAAGGGAACGCATCGCGTTTATATGATCTTAAACGCACAATTGTTGGCCTTCAACATGAGAAATCTTCTGTCTCGGCGTTCTACACTAAATTGCCCGGATATTGGGACGAGAAGGAGGCGCTCACACCATCCCTCGAGTGCACATGCTTGGGATGTCACTGTGACGTGAAGAGGAGGCATCGCGAGGTACGTGAAAGTGAACGTTTGTTCGATTTTCTGATGGGATTGGATGATGTATTTGTTACACTCAAATCCCAAATTCTAGCTATGAAACCGGTACCCAGTATTGCGGAAGCCTATCAGATGGTGATCAATGACGAACAATAGCGAGAGATTGCGCATAGTCGCCGTCCTCGGCCAGAAGTGGCGGCCTTCCAAACTCAGGGGGAGCGTCGTCCTGATCGTCCTCCTAGCCATCCTAAGCGCGATGACAACGAAAAACCCCGCTGCTCCCATTGCAATCGATTGGGCCACGTAAAGGAGACCTGTTATAGACTTATCGGGTTTCCAAATTGCAGGAATGACAAGGGTGAATGAAGTCGTCGGCCGCGACCCGATCGACAGTCTCGGCCGTCCCTGCAAGCAGCACAGGTAGGCGCAGCCGAGAGTCCCCTCCCTGGTCTGTCCGCTAGTCAATTTGTGTAGCTGAAGGCGCTTTTGGCATCTGATTTGCAACACCCCTCCTCGAATATGACTGGTACGTTTTCCTTTTCCTATCCTCAGTCATCTACTAATTGGGTTATAGACTCGGGATGTAACGAACATATTGTTAATCATGTCTCAATGTTGGATGCCGAGTTGGATACATCTTCGGCTTTACAGGTGAAAATCCCGAATGGAACAGGGGTTAAAGTTCATAGTATTGGCACCACATGATTATCTAAAAATCTATTACTACGTAGTGTGCTTTTTGTGCCTGCTTTTCAGTGCAACCTTCTCTCCGTTAGTCGTCTTACAGCGGACCTACCGGTAGCATTGATCTTCTTACGTGACTTCTGTGTGATTCAGGACTTACCTCCAAGAGGGTGATTGGGATGGGTAACCATGCATATGGGTTATACTATCTCCGGATGCTGGAAGGAGATCATCCTATGGCGCATTCAGTTAGACGTTCATAGGATGTTTCAGAGCTATGTCATGCACGACTCGGGCATCCCTCGGTGGCGAAGCTGGACTTGTTGCAGGAATTTTTTTATTGTTCTTTTGTTCAAACTAAAGAACCTTGTCGGTCTTGTTTGCGTGCTAAGCAAACTCGAGATTATTTTATTTCTAGTAGCATCAAGCCAACTTCATGTTTTGATTTGATTCATGTAGATATCTGGGGCAGTTATAAAACTGGGTCTATTTCTGTGGCACATTATTTCTTAACAATTGTTGACGATTTCAGTTGCGCAGTGTGGGTTTTCTTACTGCGTTATAAATCAGATGTTGGCCGACATTTATTATATTTTTGCAACATGGTGGCCACGCAGTTCGGGGGTCGAGTGCACCGCATCCAAGCTGATAATGGGGCTGAGTTCTCTAGTAATCTGTTTCTCGAGTACTATGCGGAGAAAGGGATAGTTTTGCAGACTTCGTGCACCGATACTTCTCAGCATAATGGAGTCGTGGAGCGCAAGCACCGACATCTTCTTGACACTGCCCGTGCCTTGCAGTTTCGTGCAAATTTACCCATCAAGTTCTGGGGTGAATGTGTACTCACTTCAGCTTACCTTATTAACAGGATGCCTCTGGTTTCTATAGCGAATAAATTCCCACTTCAAATTCTCTTCCAGAAAGACCCCGTCTATGATCCTCTTTGGAGTTTCGGTTGCCTTGTTTATGCTCGTGACAACCATCATAGGTTGCACAAGTTTGGTGACTGGGGTCGAGCTGGTATTTTCCTTGGCTATCCCTACGCTCAGCGTGGTTATCGCGTCTACGATCTTGAGAAGAAACACATATATACTTCTCGTAACGTCAAGTTCTTGGAGCATGTTTTTCTGTAACGGGATTTTGAGGACACTCGGCTCCATCCCACTATTGTTTTCATTCCGCAGCCTCGAGCCCCTCCTCCTATCCACGACAATGATGAAGATGTTTAATTCGTCGTTCCTTTGGACGATGAGCACGACCTCACAGCTTCGTCTCCCATGCATGACTTAGACGCATCTTCCTCGCCCATGCAGGACGTCGTCCCGCCTGCTATGCCCCCGCATGCATCCGAGTTGGACCCATCTTCCCCTCGTGTCGAGTCCACTCCTTCTGTACGTGTCACTGGTGTTCCTTCCTCGCCTTCTACTGTCACAGCCGAGGACATTACTTCACCTCATGTTCATCTCCCTCGCAACGTGGATCGCGTGCGGCGTCCTTCCACCCGGTTGGCCGGGTATGATGTCCAACTGCCAAGCGCGGCTCACTCGGCACAGGTACTCTATCCTCTTGATGACTACCTCAGCTATCACCGACTTTATGTTGCTCATCATGCCTTTGTTGCTGCCATTACGACCATTGATGAGCCTGCCTTGAGGAACAGTCATATAAACCTCCTCATCTAGATCACGGCCATTGATGAGCCTGCCTTGAGGAACAACCATACGCGTTCTTTGCTACCTCAAGGGTTCTTCGGGACGCGGCCTCTTCTTCTCTGCATCGACGCCTCTTGTTTTAAAGGGTTACTGCAATGCAGGCAGGGGTGGTTGTCGATCCCTCGTCGCTCTACAATAGGCTACTTTATTACTCTGGGTGAATGACCCATTTCTTGGCACACCAAGAAGCATATTGTCATTTCACGCTCTTCTGCTTAAGCAGAATACCGGTCAATGGCTAGCACCGTTAGTGAGATCATTTGGTTACGTTAGCTACTCGCGACCTGGATGTCCCTACTACTCGCCCTACTGTCTTGTTTTGTGCCAACCAGGCTGCTCTTCACATTGCTGCAAATCTGGTCTTTCATGAGCGTACTAAACATGTCGAGATGGATTGTTATTTCGTCCGTGAGCGAGTTCAGTCTTCAAAGATTGCTACTGCTGCCGATCAGCCAGCGGATCTTTTTACGAAGGGATTGAGTGTTGATCAGTTCCATCATCTCTTCCTCAAGCTCGGCCTTCTCGACATTCACTCCTTCGCTTGCGGGGGAGTGAGTGATCTCTCCGTTTGTAATTACCCTTTTAATTACTTTGGGGACCATTTTGTCATTTTCCTTTTGCTCCGTGTTTATTGTTGAAAAGAGCTAGGGTTAGTTTTTCCTATATATGCTTCTCGGCAGCCTTGTAGCCGATCAAGCAAGAGAGACAAACACTATCATTAGTTTTTCTCCGAGAGCATCTAGCTCTCCGTGGATTAGTCCCGTTCACATTGAACGAGGATACCACGTAAATCTGGTGTTATGTACTCTTTACTTTCCATGTATCATCGAATTTTACATCTCCAGCACGAAGGGGGCTCCATCTCGCGGCGACAAGGATTCATAGGTGGTTTCAGCCCCAGCTTTACGTCGTTTCTTCCTCTTCTTCCTACGATAGAGTTGCCTTCCCCCTTTAAGGCGGATGGTTATGCACGGCTCCGGCGAGGCTGGGTCTTGTGACGTCGACGTGGTGGTCATCCTCAAGGCAATACCCTTGATGATTAGGTTTCCAACAGGCGGCGGCGGTGGTGCGATGACCTTTGATGGCGGCGATGTTACTAACAATGCTAGAATCATCACTCCTTCTTCGGGACGCCATTGATCTAGTCCTCGTTGAAGCACTGCGAGGTCCGGAGCCCTCTTGGTGGGCTCTCCCAACCCAAGCCTTGCAAGTTGACCGATCGTCCCTTCATCTTGAACCGTAGGGCCGGAAGCTGCCAGTCGATGGTGACGGGGTGAGTTGGCGTAGCAACTGCACGCCAGACACCATGTCGGTTCCCCTTATGGAAATCTCGTATAGATCCACCTCAAGTCATTCGCATTGTATTTCAAGCGGCACCCCTTCATAGCATCGTTCACATACGAGGAAATTCTCATTGGCCGCCTTCACTTTGAATGCGGCGACGAGCGTGACTGGTAGCACTAATCCTTGTGCGAGGTCGTTGTTCACGAAGTTGTGTGACGTCCCGCTGTTGACCAACGCCACGCAGGTCTCTTGCTACAACTCCACGGCGAGCCGGATGGTGGACGAGTGCGAGACTCCAGTCAGAGCGTGGAGAGAAATCTTTGCCTCTGGTGTGTCTGGTGGTTCCTTGGGCCGTCTCTTCATCCCTTCGTTTGGCAGGAATGGTCGATCTCTCAACGGTTGCTGGGCAAGAGTAGTTGATGAAGCGTGCCCTGGGAGTGATTTCGAGCTCGATTCTGTCGAATCGGGCTCTGATACCAATTGGCGCATTATAGTTTGTAATGTGTCGAGAGAATGATAATCTACTTTACTTCTACTCCTAAAACTACTACGAATTCTACTAAACTGGATTATTATTCATTGATGTATCAAAACCAAAGAACAAAGTACATATTTATAAGATTACTCTCATAACCCTTTCCCTCTCCAACAAGGTAAACTAATCCTAACCCAACAAGTAAATAATAACTTCCTCAACAAGAGATAATAATAACTAATACGAATAACCAATAACATGACAATTAACTTATAATAATTCCCTAATGACTAAGCCCAACTCGGCACTACGGGCCATGGGTGCTATAATGCACCAATGAACCTATAGTACCCATGCGCCCTCGGACCTCAAGTACCATTGGATTGAGTTTTCCCTTCCAAGACTCAATGTGTTTTTACCAAGTTGTTTTGGCAGATGCATCTGCGAGGTTGAGCAGTGACGAAGTCAGAAATCCGAACGAGGGGGGACTGACTTGAACCGGGAGGGACTAAGGTCTTGCCAACTATTCTAATTCATAAATTTGTGCAAAATTTACATATAATTTTACCTAAATTTCAAAATTTATGAGGGATACAACCCTTCCTAGTTTCAACTTAACTCCACCACTGTTATTGAGTTTAGGTTTGAAGAAATTCGATCCAACCCGATTTATGAGAGAGCAGCTAAATTTGTATGAGCTAAAAGTAGTAGTGTAGTTTTGAATATATGGTTTATTTGCCTAACCCAACTTTCATTTTCACAACTCACAAGTCCTCCCCATCAACTTTGGAAAAAGGTGACGTTACTGGAAACTATCTTTGCGTGATAGCATGATTTCGAATTGCTTGCGCTGCGTTGCGGGCCTGGGGCTGCGGAATGATATCATGCAGATCCGCAAAAAGCCACACCAGTTGGGCCTCATTCCATACTAGTTCGGCCAGGCCCAAGCTCGGTGGCTGTGAGATTACTCGCCACTTTTCTGACCCACCAACAGGTACAGTTACTGTGGATGTGTGATTATTGGGCCCGATTATGTCAGTATTATTCCTCTTACTACAGTTGAGTACTTGAGTTTGGGCCTTCTGGTGGTTTGAGACATTTTTTCAAAAGACGTAATTTCTATTTTTTAATATTTTATTTTGGTCTGAACTATGACCATATAATTAATTTTAGTTAGTGGTTTTATAAGTTAACATCATGGTCTATACAACATATAGACTCAATTGGCCCGGCATATGGTTTGACCGTCAATTTGGATGGTCATCACCATTGACCCGTTAGTCAACACGCCATGTCTTTGCCTCGTTAGCCTAATAATCATTAAAAAAATTCACATTCTTTTCCTAATTTCTACTATTTATCATTATCAAATTAACTAAAAATAAAATAATTATAAATATTTTATGGGTCAAAATAATATATTAATCATTTTTTTATCATTTTCCTTTTGATAGGAGTATAGGACAACTAAACCAGATTGTAACTAGCTCTTGTTAAAAAACAGAAGGGCTACTTATAATTTATTTCATGAAAGAGCAAATGATAACCTATTTGACACGCATGATTTATTGTATCCTACCATACTCATCCAATAATATTGGTGATGAAAATTTCACTAAGATATACTCGGTCTTGATTTATTCTGATAAACTATGTGAGTGTACCATTTGACTCATTAGTAGTAGTAGCATGGTATGCAGTTTTTTTTTTTTATATATTTTGATAAATTATGTGAGTGTACCATTTGACACACTAAGAGCATGGTATGCAGTTCTTGATCAATTTGATAACTTATGTGAGTGTACCATTTGATTTGATCCACTAGTAGCATAGTATGCACATCTTGATATGTTTTGATGAATTATGTAAGTGTACCATTTGACCCACTAGTAGCGTTGTATACACTTCTTGATCTTTTAGGATCAATTATGTGAGTGGACCATTTGATCCACTAGTAGTGTGGTATGCTCTTCTTATCGATCTACTACCATCAACAATGTGGGTGTACCATTTGAGTCACTAGTAGTGTGTGGTTCTTCCCTCCAACCTACTATGATCAAATTTCTTTGATACTATTTTTTATTTTTCTATTTTGACTTCTTTTAAGTAACATCTTACATTTAATGTTAGCCACAACTAGGTATGAGACTTAGTTATGCCATTCTCTTCTTTTTAATATAAAATAATTTTTTCCTTTAATTCTTTATATAAAAATTGGAATTCTACATATATTTCATCGAACCACACATAAGAAAGAGTTTGACCTACCTTATCATATGACTTATACATAAACAAAATTATACGACTTGACTGATACCATACATGAGGTAGATATACGTATTGAGATAACTATCCAGGCATCCATCGTCATTCCCAAACAGAATTTCTCAGGGTGATTTTTGTTTATGGTTCTATGACATCCACAATTCCTTCATCTTCTAGACATGCAAAAAAAAAAAAAAAAAAAAGAGAACTAGTAACCAACCCACCCCACTATAGGGAGCTCCCAAACAAGAGCCTCAGATCTAACCTCAGTGACCACTGTTTTTTTGCCCCATAGGAGAAAGATGAGCATGTTTACAAGATTTTACACAGCTAGCTAGGCAGTGTGCCTCACCAAAGTACCATAGCAAACTTCAACTACCAACCTTTCACCCATAATTTCAGCCTTTCTGTTTGTTTGTTTCTCCCTCCACTTAGCACAAAAAGAAAGCAAAAGATAGAGAACAGTGTCATTTAGCTTTCATCATCATGTTTCTGGATCTGGATGGTAGATCCAAGAGAAGAGAGTTTGCCCTTTCACCCCACCCACCATATCCCCAATTATCTCAGGCCCCAAAAACTGAAAAGGACCTCCTCTGGACCACATTTCCCCCCAGTTTCCATAGCCCACAAACCCAACTTTTTCTTCAGCATGGGACAAACTTCTGATTCCCTCACATTTACCCATTTTTGGCCCAGTCAATCACCTTGGTGGACACTAATCTTTGGGGTCACTTGCAAATCCATTGTTAAGTTCTGATCTCTTAACGAACTCGTCACTTCGTCCATCTTTGTTGAACGCGTTGTCTAACTTGTCAAGATTAGAGTGTGATAGTTAGTTAGATTCATAATAACTTTGACAACATAAATGCTAACTATATTATACGACAGTCTCATTTAAATACATACCGAATCTTAAAATTGAGTGTCATATGCATCAAAAATCAAAGTTTAGATTGAACATATGACTTTATAGATTTTTAAAAAAACTTGAGTGTCGTATTTTTCGGAAATCAAAGTTTAGTGAGTCTGCTGATAATTGACCCATTGTTGGGTCTCACTGAGTACTTAATGGGAACTTGGCCATTCTCCCACAGACAATTACCTCAATCAAACCCCAAAATTAGGTTGCTACTACTAATCCATCCATCTCATCAAGGATTGTGACAGAAACTTGATTTCATTTAATGGCTTGTTGCAGCAAATGGGCAGCTCCAGCGATTGCCAAACTACTGACTAGGATGGCTTTATTAGTAGCTCTGCTGGGAATTGCTTAGCCTGCTCCCTTCTTTCTCAGTGTTGGACCACAGCCCCATTTAAGGAGGAAGGTGATATCTCATCACTGATCTGATACATGTTTGGTAGATTGCTTGCACTTTGCTTCTTTGAGTGTTGGGATCCATTTACAGCTTTAGTTATTTGCAAAAATGCAAATCCTTTGATCATTGTGATGGGGAATTCAGGAACTGTTCATTAACATTCCATACACAGCAGCTCTCAGCTTTTTCTCCCTCTGTTACTCTCACCTAATGTTCTTTAATAATTGCATAGCAAGTCAAAGAGTTTGGACCATAGTGGCTGTAGTTTTACACTGTCAAACCCACTTGTCCAAATCGTTAATAATACCAAACCGCATTTCCTTCAGCGACAGCTTAACCCTTCTGGTTTCTGTGTCCAAGAGAATGTCTGCTTGCAAATTAAGGCTGTTTTAACACACAAAGTGCCAATCTTTGTGAATTCTCTACTCACTAACTAAGTGCACCTAAACCATACAAAGTCTGAGCCTTTTGGATGTTCTGAAAAAACCCGTTTATCTTTGTTATGATCCTGCAAAGACCCAGAAGAGAGAGATTGAAAACATTGAACTTTTCTTTTACTTCTTTTCTTACTCCTTTATGACTCGGATACTTACAGAGATGAAAAATCATACAAGCTTTTAATTATGCATCTATTTGACCCTATTGATGTGTACAAAACTGAGACTTCAAGCCTTCTAGGGAACTCCACTGAAGAAATTAACTATTGTATGTACAAAAGGTACCTAAAACTGAATTCATATGGCATGACCTCGATGATTTGTGTACTTGGCTGAGTTTTAGTACCTCTGTCAAGGGACTTCATTGCTTCTTTCCCAAGTTCACTTGGTAGCTGCAGGCAAATCCAGTCCAGCAATGAGTCCAAGTCTTTTGCAAAGTCCAACAAATACCAATCCAACAGCTTTGGGATAGCAAACTTGTTGGCTGAAATCCCAATTGCTGCCTGCAAGTACTCTTTCTTCGCCGCCTCGAGCTCATTCTCGACTTGTGATGCTGTGTACACTCTCACCTTCATTCCAGAAAAGAAAAGATCACTATAGACAGTGGACTAACACATCAAAGGACTAATAGATGGTGATGGCTGACAGGAAACTTACAGCTGGAGAAGACCAACTTCCACAAGAGAGAGCAAATGTCACCAAAGGTTCAGATAACTCCAACCCGAATTTGCTCCTTGCTGTCATCTCATCGTTCTTCGACCCCTTTGATAATGCCTGAATGATCAAGAAAGAATGGTTTCTTCAAGGATGTGCTAAATTTCTAAGTAAGGAACTGTGAGCTGTGTGCAATCACCCAGGTACTTACATATTTGGAGTGGTAAGGCAATCTGAGGATGAAGTGCTCAATGGTGATTGCAGTTAGAGAGTGTCCTCCAACATTTATTGTTGCCTAAATAAACAGCAAAGGGGAAACAAGTAACTTTCAGAAACCCAATTTTTCAATATAGCATTGTCACATGATGCCACCAGGCTTATGAATTTAGTTCTGCTGCAGAAAGAAAGTGACTAATGAATACTACTTATTTGGTCTCTCTTCATTGCCTTACCTCTCTCATTACTTCAACAACCATCTCAGGGCTTTCTGGAATTCCATATTGCAGAAATGCCTGCAACAAGAAATTGGAAATTTAAATTAAATTTAAGGCAAAAGAAACTTAAGAAATGGACCAAAGGGAAGAGGGTTTCATTTCCATACATTCATCATGCAGGAGTTGTAGATGTTGATCCAGAAGGCAAGTTTCTCCTGATGGGTTAATTTATCCAATTTCACAGCACCAAGTTTACCAAGCAGAAGCCTTTAGAAGATGAACAAAAATCAAGTCAAATAAGAATCTGGCTGAAAAAAGGAAGCCAATTTGAAGGGTATTATTTCCTAAATGAGACTTACTTCAGTCTGTGGAGTAGAAACAAAGAGTTGGATGTTCTGTTGGGATTGACAGTGTCAGCTTCAATAGCAAACAAATGCTTGTACTGACCAACATCTCTCCTTCCAAAATCTGCCCATATACCATAAGGATCATTCTCACTGCTGTTGTGGTTCTTCCTCGTCGTCGTGCTCAACCTCGCGAAAATGCTTGACAAGCACTTCACAATGTCCTCCGAGACCTTGTTTGGATTGTCATCCACCAGCTGCAAAAACACAATTCAGACAAAACCCTTCTAAGTCGAATAGAAATTCGCCAAAAATGCTGATGAATTCTTGGTGAGCCAGCTTGATTTGATACCTTTAACTTCTGAGGATCCAGACGCTTCTCCGATTTATGATCAATTGCGCTTCTTTTAACTGGTGTTCGGACCGTACTGGGAGCATTGTGAGCTGAAGATGACGAACCCCTCCCCTTTTTCTCTGCTGGATTGGAAGAACAACAACCCATTTCCTTCTCTTTCAACTGCTGTTTCTGCTGCTCGATCTTAGGCGGGACTGAAGGGTAGGAATCTGCAGAAGAACTTAGGTTCCTCTTGGAGCTGGAAATGTTGACAGCTTCCTGGTACAAGTCCTGTCTGAAATGTACTACTTGTTCTTCTAATCGTACAACTTCCTCTTCCAAGACAGCAACTTCTGCTAGAAGCTCCAGCGTCTGCAACAGAACTAAAACACGGGGATCAGATTTACAGAAGAACGAATCGATGAAGAAGACGAAATTGGTAGTTTAAGGAGACTAACGGCAGGGGGAAGATAAGGAGGCAGGCGAGGCAGAGCTCCGAGTGGTCTATTGAATGCTCTCTCCAGAGCTCTGTGTACATTCTCTTCGAATCTCAGCTTCTTCTTCAGTTTATCAACCTGGTAAAAAAGTTTGAGAATTTTGGAAGTTGGTAATCAGGAAATTAAGACAATCAATCAAATTGAACAAAATCGAACTGAACCCATATCCGTACATCTTGCTGGAGAGCCATTTTCTTGTCTCTGCTCGTTGAAGCTTTGCGGGATTTGGCTGAACTGTTAGTTCCATTGATAGAATAGCTCCCCTGCATTCCCGATCACAACAGGATTAAACGAAAGTCAATCAATAAGCTTCGACGAGAAGTGGTAATTGGGATGAAACAGAGGATTGTGATTTTTTCCCCCGCTTTAGGAATGGTGATCGATTTGTTTCACTCTAGATTTGGATTTGGGAACCAAGGAAGGAAGCAAGACTTTGGATTCCATTATTGAGAAGAGCAAAAGAACAAAGGGCGTAATTTCATCATGATATCTCGGAGGAGCGTTTGCTTGGGCATTGGGAGTGAAGCCATGGATAAAATAAATAAATAAAAAACAGAGAGATGCAGGCGAAAAAGGCAATTGGGGGAGAGTTTTACAAATCCCAATACCTTCGGGAGAAGAAAAAAATTCAAGTAAAAGCAGGGGAGACTCTATACTGTACAGTAGAAACCGTTTTTCAAAAACAATTGATTGATTAAACAAAAATGGCAGTAGTAACAGACGGAAAACGTATCTGTTACGACGAACCAAAAACCCACCCAGTGGGACTTAACCATTTGTTTTCTGTGGGTTTCCTTTACCTTTTCAAGCTTGGGTGGAGCTTTCATGGCGGAGTGCCGAGTTGTACTGGCCCGGCTACTCATCCTTGCTTGCTGTTTCCCTCTCCCAGCTAGCTAGCAAACAGTTCCTCAAATCTGAAGGAGAACAAAACCCAATTCATCAAAAACACCATTAATAATCCAGAGTTGCAGAACAGAGCATTTAAAAAGAAACAGAGGATTGAATGAAGAACAGAGAGAGGCATACACACACACATATATACATATATACCTTTATGATCTGAAAGTTCATTCCTTGTCGTCGGGTTGAGATAAACCGAAGTCGGGGACTACTACTAGACTAGCCTTGAATGCCAAAACGACGCCCTGGATGCATTTAAAACGGGAGCTGAGTCAGTCTCTGAATCAAGCGGCCCAGAGAAACAGAGAGCTGTTTCTCGATCACAGTGAACCGAATTCCCCCGAGCTCACGAAAGCTGCAGAGAGAGGGAGGGAGGGTTTGACCGCGGTTTAATGTTAAAATGGTTGTGCTTGGGAAATGGATGGAAGGAAGGAAGGAAAGGAAGAATCTTTATGTATATATATGACAGCAGAGAGAGAGAGAGAGAGAGAGAGAGAGAGAGAGAGTAAATTAAGGTGTGGGGAGTGGAGTAGTGGGATGGCGAAGAAGGTAGTGGGAGCTGTGAAGGCGCGCAGGAACAGGGAAGAGGCCACCGCGGTCCAAACGGCAACAAACCAGGATAAAACGGTGTCGTATCTTGTTGTGGCTTTGCGGTGGCCGGCGGCGGTGTTTGCCGTTGTGGCTCCGCTCCGCGTCATCATCAAGCAACGTGGCGCATCTTTTGCTCATTTCCATTTCCTTTTTCTTTCTTTAGCCATCCATCGTCATTATTATTTACTGAAGCTTTAATTTCTTTCTTCCTAACAGATTTATTTTATTTTCAGATGATTAATGTATTGTAATCTCTTAATTAATGATAAAGTGTTTTGCCGGTCTCGTCTGATTGAAAGTGCCAGGAAGGAGCTTTCATGCATGACATAATTATTGGATTGGACTGGTTTAATTAGACCACCTCCTAATTCTAATCCAATTCCCAATTTTTTTGCTTGTAGTTTGATTGAGATGTGTAGCTCATGATGTATGTGCATTTGGTATGTCAAGTCATCGCTTGGCTGGACCTCAAGTCCTCAACTTATAGTATTTATAAATTGTTTTTTATCGTTTTCAGAATTGGTGTATAAGTTAGAAATCTGAATGAAATGGATTGATTTGAACCGTGATAATTCGAAACGGAGACTAAGATCTTATCGACTATTTTTTTCAGAATTTGTTACAATTTTGACATTTGATTTTTTACCTATACTTCAAAATTGAGGGGACTATAGCCCTTCATGCTTCGGCCTAGTTCCGCAAGAGTTGAGATTTTTGGCAATTTAAAATTTGTTAGAATATTAAACTCACAAGTGTAATATCATAAAACCCAACTCATATAATATCATATGTGTCGATTCCATATCATAAAATTTATTAGAATCTTTAAACTTACAAGTGCAATATCATAAAACCCAACTTATATAATATTGTATGTGTCGATTCAGGAAACACAGACTTCGGATGGTCATAACTCATAACTACCTGAATTGTGCATTTCTACCATTCGATCCAATACTATTAATTTTTTTTGTAAGGGTAACCTCAATTTAGTTTATGGTTAGGCTCTAGTTAAGAAATTCAAACAAGTGTTTATTTTATCCAATACTATTAATTACATGCATTACTTTCCTTGTTATAATGCAAAATTTACTCAAAAAAGACTTTATTATAATAACATTGTTTGTGTTTCCTTAACTAATTAAGAGTCTATTTGGCGATGTTGTGTGTATCGGAAATGTGAAATCTATTTCTAAGTTTGGGATTTGACTTTCGATCTTGACTGAAGCTGATCATCACCACCAGGCAGAGACAGGCTAATAACACATGCTTGCCAACTAAACCCACTCTCTTTCACCTCATTTTAGAGTTCTACCTATTTTTTGCAACATCGTTTTAGGTAGAATAGGGTTAATGGTATGGTTGGTTATTGAGATTACAAAAAAGTTTAAAGTTTGGTCACTCAAAATATTTAAATTTATTGGTGGTACTCCAGTTTACTGAAACTATTCATGTTTGGTCACTCTTCGTCCAACTCCGTTAACTTTTGCTTATGTGGCGGTCAACTCTAAAAGTTGACCGTTAAATATGTGACGTGACAATTCAAATAAATTTAATAAAATTAAATTTTCTAAAATTACAATCTCATTTTCATCTCATTATCACTTTTATTAAAAAAAAGAAACACAATTTCTTCTAATCCTCAATACCAATACCTCCGCCGGTAGCATACCCCGTCGTCGCTGCCGCTTCCATTATTGAGCTTCCTTCCCACAGGACTGGAAATCTCCTTTACCATCGCCTCGTCTCCGGAATTGTTCCGGCACCAGACCGTGGGCAACCGTAGAACAGTGGAAGCGCCAACGATGGCGGGTATGCTGTCGGCGGGGTATTGGTATTGGGGATTAGAAGAAATTAGGGGTTATTTATTTATTTATTTATTTTAAATAAAACTGATAATGAGTGAAAATGAGATGGCCATTTTAAAAAATTTAATTTAATTTATTATTTTTTAATTGTCACGTCACACATTTAGTGGTCAACTTTTAGAGTTGACCGCCATGTAAGCAAAAGTTAACGGATTTCGACGAAGAGTGACCAATCGTGAACGGTTTCAATAAAATGAAGTACCACCAATAAATTTAAATATTTCGAGTAACCAAACTTGAACATTTTTTGCAGTACTGTCAAAGTCGAACCGAGCGGGCCGGCCGGACCGCCAAAGCCGCCACCCAGCCGTAAAACCGGCTCGGATCAGCTATTTAACCGCCACGGTTTTATACAACGGCCGGCGAGCGGCCGAAGCGGTTAACCGCTCGAGCCGCTCAAGCCGGTCGCGCGGTTCGGCCGTTTGGTTTACCCTAAAAAAAAATAGAAAAGGCCAATCGTGGAATCGGCCGTCAACACCTCTTGTCCCGGCATCGCCATCCCCAGTCGCCATCTCCAGTCCTTGTTGTAGCAAGCAGCTCCCCGCTCCCGGCGCTTCCAACCCGTCGCCACCGTCGCAAGCTGCTCCACGCTAAGTTGCACTGTCTCACCAGAGGCTTGGATTGAATCCGAGCCATTTCGCGGATTGGGACGAGGAAGAGCATTTACGGGTTAAGAAAGGATGAGGAAGAATTGAATGTGGTAATGGATTTTTGAGGAATTGCAGAAGGCTATAGTGGCTGAAAAATGAAAATAGGTGCGGCGGTGGGAGAGGAGGAAGGAGAGAGGGAGGGGGATGGGGAAGCGGAAGGAAGGAGAGTGAGGGGTGGGGAAGCGGCGCTGTCGCTTAGGATTAGGTTAGGGTTTTTTTTAGTTGCTGTATATATATGTTGTGTAGAATTATTAAATGGTACATGTTATTATCATTTTTACTCATTAAATCATTGAATTATTACTTTATGTGTGTTCTACTATGATATTATATTGTTTATAATGTACCGGTTCTCAAACGGTTTTTAAACGGTCTAATGTCGGCTGGACCACTAATGACCGAGCCGTTCACGTTACCGGGTCATACTTCGGCTCGGCTTTGACAGCATTGATCTTTTGTATTCTCAGTTATCAACCATGCAATTAACCCTACGTAGAATAACTAGTCGTTTTGATTGCTGTAATCATACATAGGGGCGGAACCAAACTCTTTCGATATTGTCACAAGACATAAGTAAATTTTAGTAGGAAAATGATAAAAAAAAAATTCCGTTGAATAAAAAATGATAAATCCTCACGTTTGTTAATGCAAGGGATTATACTTGTCATCATAAGGTGAAATAAGGGTATTGTGCCACTGCACTAAAACTCACCTCTTGCTATCTGATCACCATAATATTGATTTGTTATACGCAAAAACTAAATTCTCAAATGGAATAATTTATATCATAAAAATGGACACACCTAATTTAACTTCTAACTCCATCATTGGCTGCAATGGTCGGCCAATAAGTAATCTCTTCGTTACTAATTAGTGACGGCAAAGAAACACATTTTTTCCTCTTCTGTAATATATAATTTTTTTTCTTTATCTACAACATGAGCTGATTTAAGATATAGTTTGGACCTGCGGTAACTTTTGCAGAAACGACTTCTGATTAGAGTTTATAGAGAAATACTTAAAAAAACAGTTCAATGTTTGGCTGAAAAAATTATTAGAAGTGTTTTTCAATATGAGAGATTGTATAAAATGACTATAAAGGACTTATAATATAAACTATGAATAAAAATTTTAAACAATAGAAAGTAGTCAAAATGGATCTTGCTAGATTTCTTTTCTATTAAATAATATAATTTTAAAATTTATTTTATTTTTGAAATGATATAAATGAAAGAAAATTATATTTTTTGGACCAAATATTTTTTACTAAGGTTCTTTGGTCATAAATTAATAAAAATATTTGATTATCTGTATTTTACTTCCAAAGCAATAGAGAAGATTATTAGTTGAAATTTAGCTAGTGCAATCAATGAATGAACATGTCCAGTATATTTTTTTAGACGTAAAGCGTAATATGATTAATTGATTATGATATCTCCTCATAAGTGTGAAATGTCACTATATGTATATATTCATATGGTCCTTATCCTGGTAAATTAGAACAAATAAAAAATATATAGCTCCATGTATATGAAAAAGACTGATCGAGAATGTGGAAATTGGAATAAAATAAAGCCACACGTCGCGTGCAACTGCCGGGTTCTCGATCGACCCCTCGCAGATACGTACCCTTTTCCTATTAAGTAATAATAATAATAATAATAATAATAATAATAATAATAATAATTTATTGTTATTATTATATTCCCTGTGCAAATAGAGAAGTTTATATTATGATTAACAAAGGAAAGGAAGAAGCTCTTTAGAAGTTGCATGCGAGCGCTTTCTTTATGGGGAACAAAAAGGGTTAATTAACGATAAAGGTGAATTAGCCACAGAACACGGCCTTGGAGGTAAAGGAAATGAAATGATGAGGGAAGCTAGGTGGATTAATGGAGGCAGCGCATCAGGTTAGCTTGCTAATCATGGAGTTAATATCATATACTAATTAATCGTAAGTTATAGTAATACAATCATAGTTGTAACTATTTTCCCGTAGAAGTTGTTTTTTTATATAGTTATAGGACTACAACTCGATCACAAACAATTATAACTCATAATTAGCATAATGTTAATCTCTATATATTAGCGCATCGTATTTGGTTCCACCCATCACCATGGCCATCACTCATGCCCATTGATCAATCACGTGTAGAAAAGTAAGAGGGTTGAGGTTGGTTGTTTCATCATCATATCATCATATGCATGTAAAATCATGTTGCTTTTGCATATTAGATCTAGCCGTTGTAGATGTAGAAACTGGGTGAAGACTTAATTAGCTCAAATGATTTTGTTAGAGCAGAATGAGAAATGTACCATGAAAAAAAATAAAGAATACACCTATGTACCTGGTTTATCGACATAATCATGTGACTTATTTAGTGTTTTCCCAACGAGAAAATCTAGATGGAACAGAATTGAATGCATCTTCAACTTCCAAACAAACGATTGAACAAACACAGTTCACACCTCTTTGAACAAAGTTCAAACAAGGGTGTTCAATGTTTTTTATAACCATGAGATAGATCTACATTAACATAGCCCTACTCCTATGAAAGTTCAGTGAGAGCTCCAAGATTACTGTCGTAACTGGGCAGCCCATTAGTACGATATTGTCCGCTTTGGGCCAAGCCCGCACGGTTTTAGTCTTGGGTGTCCTCCCCAAAAGGCCTCGTACTAATGAGATTGGTGGACACTAATATACAAGGGTCACTTCCCTTGTATTACCGATGTGGTACTTGGATTGTCCCATAACAATCCTCCCCTCAAGCCAAGGACCACGAACATCGTGTCCTCACCTCAGCAATTATCTTGATCCGCCAGACACCTTGTATCGATGGGCTTCTCGGTACAAGGACTTTACCAGACGCAGAACTCTCTTTGATCTGCTTCCCAGATGCGAAACTCTCTTTGATCCGCCAAGCCCAAACGTGGATTTCTCCTGGATCC